CTTCCTCCTTCCCCTCCTACTCCTCCTCCCCCCCTCCTCCTCCTCGTCGTCCTCCTCCTCATCATCGTCCTCCTTTTTCCGCATCGTCCTCACTCCTCACTACTCACTTTCCTCACCCCCGTCACCCTCCTCACCCTCTTCCATGTCCTTCTCCTTTACCCTCACCCTCCTCCCTCATCCTTCCTCCTCACGCTTCATTATGTCCGCAGTTCTGGTCAAGGCCTGGCGGCCTCGTCTGGTGCTCTTCCTGCTCCTTCTCCTTCTCCTCCTCCTGCTCCTCCTCTCCCTCCTCGTCCTCCTGGGCACAACCTGGGGCGCTACAGAGTCTATAGCACCTCAGCCTTCAGAATACAACGTGGCTAGTTGCTCTTTTTCTAAGTTGGTGTAGGTCTTTGTCGTATGTGTTTATTATGCTCCTTCTTGAGGGTGGCCTCGGAAATCTTGGTGCATGCTGCGTAGTCATCCTTTTGTCGTCTTATGTATTGTAGTTTTTTTTTCTGCGGGAGGTTCCTGATCTAGCATATTTCTCCTGATGATGCTGTTGTTGATGTTGTTGTTGAACTCTCATCACTTATTGTTGATCCCCCACATCCGATGACGATTGTGTTTTTCAATTGAAGTGCTTCCTCCGGGGATCGCTCCTTGTTTTTTATTAGGGAAAGTCACGGGGCTCAAATTGCGTTGTTGGCCCCCAGATTACAGCAACACCGGCTCCCGCTAGAGACTTCCTCACAATTTAGCCAGGACCCCCGCTCCCGCCTGCGACTTCCTCGCGTTTTACTCTGGAATCGCGCTCTCGCTTGGGACTTTCTTCCACTTTACTATGGGATCGCCCTCTCGGCGTTCTGGAGTCGCGCTCTCGCTGGAGACTCGCTTGCAGTTTACTAAAGAATCGCGCTCTTGCGTTGGAATTCCCGCGATTTATTCAAGCGACGCGCACCCGACACTCAGGCACCCAGGGACTTAGGAATCGGGACCTCGCTGCCCTTCGTGGCCCCGTAGCAGCCCTTCGTGGCCCCTTCGCTGCCCTTCGTGAGGAGGAGGAGGAGGAGGAGGAGGAGGAGGAGGAGGAGGAGGAACAGGAGGATGAGGAGGAAAGGAGGAGAAAGAGGAGGAAAGAGGAGAGGAGGAGGAGGAGGAGGAGGAGGAGGAGTAGGAGAAGGGGGAGGGGGGAGAGGAGGAGGAGGGGAGGAGGAGGAGGAGGAGGAGGGAATGATGATGATGATGATGATGATGATGATGATGATGATGATGATGATGATGATGATGATGATGATGATGATGATGATGATGATGATGATGATGATGATGATGATGATGATGATGATGATGATGATGATGATGATGATGATGATGATGATGATGATGATGATGATGATGATGATGATGATGATGATGATGTGATGATGATGATGATGATGATGATGATGATGATGATGATGATGATGATGATGATGATGATGATGATGATGATGATGATGATGATGATGATGATGATGATGATGATGATGATGATGATGATGATGATGATGATGATGATGATGATGATGATGATGATGATGATGATGATGATGATGATGATGATGATGATGATGATGATGATGATGATGACGAGGATGAGGAGGAGGATGAGGAGGAGGAGGAGGGTGGGAGAAGGGGGAGGAGGAGGAGGAGGGAGGAGGAGAGGAGGAGGAGGAGGAGGAGGAGGAGGAGGAGGAGGAGGAGGAGGAAGAGGAGGAGGAGGAAGAGGAGGAGGAGGAAGAGGAGGAGGAGGAGGAGGAAGAGGAGGAGGAGGAGCAGAAGAAGAAGGATAAGTAGGATATACAGGACTCACCCCTCCTGCCTCTACGTTGTAGACGGGGCCTGCCGTGGCCCAGGGGCCCTCACCCCACAGGCCTTCCCGCGGTCGGGTGCTGGCCCTTCCACAGACGACTCGACCTGCCCTGTGCAGTGGCCGGCGGCCCTTACAATCGCGCCTTCAGAGATCCTGCCAACGTTGCTCAGCGTAGCAGGCACACACTTTTTTACCATCCATAGGGAGCCCAACGGCGAGAACGGGTGACAACAGAGCGCGGAGACGCCGGAAGAGGAGGAAGAGGAGGAGGAGGAGGAGGAGGAGGAGGAGGAGGAGGACCGAGGAGGCACAGCAGCGCGCCCCGGCGAGCGCGTGGACTGGCAGCCGCCTAGGGCGACGGCCCCGCGCAACTAATTACAACTAATTAGTCTGGCGCGCCCGGGCGCTCCAGCAGGCGCCGTCGCACAGCCGCCCGCCACGCCGCCTCGCGGCCCCCGGCCCGCGGGGCATCCAGGAGCAGCAGGCCGGCCGCCCGCGGGGGCAGGTGCGGCGCCCATCCGCTGCACGGGCGGCCCGCGAGGCGCTCCCAGCGCGGGGCCCAGCACCCGCACGCCATGCAGGCCACCCAAGCGGGCCCTTGGGAGGCGACGTGCCCCCGCCAGGCGCTGCCGGCGAAAAGCACCCTCGCCGCGGCGGCCGCCCCTGGGCCCGGCGCCGCGCGCGCTGGCCACCACCGCGCCCGCCTGCGGGGCCGCCGCGGCCACCACCGCAGCGTCGTCCGCCACGCGGGGCACGCGGCGGCGACGATGCCCCGCCTGCGTCCAGCGCCGCCGCACACGCGGGCCTCCAGGGCGGTGCCCGTGGTTAGCCTTGAGCGCCGCGAGCTCCACCGCGGCAAGCACACGCTGTACGGCAGTGAGCGCGACCAGCTGCCGCTCGCGCTCCTGACGCAGCGCCGGCGGAGGCAGCCGGGCCTCGGCAGCCACCCCCGCGAGGCGGTCCGCCGCGGCGTTGCCGGAGCGGTCGTCAGGCGACACGCCCCGTTCCTGCGCCTCCGCGGCGTCAAGGTGCCCCTTGACCCATCTCGCGGCCAGCGCGCCGCTGCGGCAGTGAGGAACGATCAACTCCCACAGGTCAGCGTGGGCCCAGTCCTCGGGGGACGCCCCTGCCCTGATCGCCGCAACGCCGTTGCTGACGAATCGGGAGTCGGTCACTACCTCGACGGCCCCGCCTGCCAGGCTGACGTAGCAGGCACACACACACACACACACTCAACAAAGCGCATAGCCTGGTCGGATCACGAGTTGGAGCAGACTTCTCTGTGCCGAATCTGCCCTGCGAGCCGCGTCTGGGCCCTCAGGTGGCCCTCCCGACCTGGCCGACGGGCGTCCAGCCTCCTCACAGGCCCCCTTTCCGCCTCCCCGAGTAACCCACGACGCTCGATGACCTCAGTACCAGTCCCACGAGTACTCGGGGCCTGCACGGGGGCGTCCTCAGCCGGGTCAACTACCTCTGATGACAGAGCTCGGATTTTCGCATTCAATTTCAAAGTGCCCTGGACTTGCTTAAACAAGCGCGGCCGCCCAATACCAAGGAGAAGGAGAACGAGGAGGAGGAGGAGGAGGAGGAGGATACGGATAATGACAATAATAAGGATCAGGGTACAGATAAGGATAAGGATACTGTTAATGATAATGTGAATGATAAGGAAAGGCATAATGCTAAGGATACGGATACGGATAAGGATAAAACAAATATAAGGATAAGGATAAGGATAAGGATAAGGACATTGATGAGGACAATACTGATAAGGAGGATGAGGAGGAGGAGGAGGAGGACGTCGGCGACGACGAGGAGGAAGAGAAAGAAGAAGAGGAGGAGGAGGAGGAGCAGGAGCAGGAGCAGGAGGAGGAGGAGGAATGAGGAGGGGGAGGGGGGAGGAGGAGGGGGAGGAAGAGGAGGAGGAAGAGGAGCAGGAGCAGGAGCAGGAGCAGGAGAGGAGGAGGAGGAGCAGCAGCAGCAGCAGCAGGATGAGGGGGAGGAGGGGGACGGGGGGGATGAGGAGGAGGAGGCGACCGCAGGGCGAGGGAGCCGCCAGGCGACCGCAGGGCGAGGGCGGAGGAGGAAGAGGAAGGAGGAGGAGGAGAGGAGGAGGAGAGGAGGAGGAGGAGGAGGAGGAGGAGGGGAGGAAGAGGAGGGAGGAGGAGAGGAGGAAGAGGAGGAGGAGAGGAGGAGGAGGAGGAAGAGGAGGAGGAGGAGGTGGTGGAGGAGGAGGTGGTGGAGGAGGAGGAGGAGGACCAGTGTAAACTTGAGAGCCATCAACGACATTGGAAGTAACCCTTCCTCCGAGCTCCCTTTTCATAGGCCGCATACAACGGTTCATTTCCATTCAGGGAACTGCCTCGTTGGAAGACAACCGTTTGAAGACCCTGCTGAATGCCAAAAAATGATTCTTGGGATGTCAACGCCACGGATCAACCTGACTGTTGCGTCTTGGCAGCCCGTGCCAGAACGCAATTGTGGGCACTACAACACCTCGAATAAACATAACGGTTGCATCCGCATAATCTTGAATGTTTCCGAAAACACGATTTCTGGTACGGTTTATCATGATAATCCGTGTGTTATGCAAGAATGTGCGCGGCGCTAAGGCGAGAGCCACAGTTTGAAAAGGAACCGCCGTCAGTCCGTGAAACTCTTGCAACTGTTTAAAACGAATGTGCGCGGCGGCAAGGCGAGAGCCACATTTTGAAAACGGCCCGCCCTCAATGCGTGAAGCTCTTGCATTTGTTGAAACGAATGTGCGCGGCGGTAAGGCGAGAACCACATTTTGAAAACCACTCGCCCTAAATCCGTCAAACTCTTGCAAACGTTTAGAACGAGTGTGCGCGGCGCTAAGGCGAGAGCCACATGTTTGAAAACGGCCCGCCCTCAATCCGTGAAACTCTTGTGTAATTTTTGTTAGACGGATGTGCGCGGCGGTAAGGCGAGAGCCACATCTTGAAAACCACCCGCCCTCCTTCTGTGGGACTGTTGCCACTTGTTAAGCTTCAGAATCATAAATGGTGGAAGGAGGAGGAGGAGGAGAAGAGGCAGCATCGGTACAACTCTCATGCCATCATCAGCGGAGCACATGGAAGAGGAGGAAGGGGAGGAGGACGAGCAGGAGGAGCAAGAGGTGGATGAGAACCGCTGGCCTCCGCAGCCCGTTTGTGGTTCCGCGGTCGCGCCTTCTGGCACCAGCTGGTCCATGCGGCCGCATTGCAGCGCCATGGGACTGCGCGCCAGTCTTCGCGTGCTGCACCCCTGCAGCCCAGGGCGGTCCGGCAGCTTCTGCGAGAAGGACGGGCCGATCGAAGCAGAATCTTCGCCCTCCTCCCTGGAGGGAGGAGGGAGGGAGATAGGGAGGGGTTGACGGGAGGATGAGGAAGGGGAGGAGGAAAAGGAGGAGGAGGAGGAGGAGGAGGAAGGTGTCAGGATTCAGGACTCAGGAGGATGGAGGAGTAGGAGTAGGGTGGAGGCGGGAGGAGGGAGGGAGGCGTAGGAGGAAGAGGAGGAAGAGGTGGATGGAGGAGGAGGAAGAAGAGAAGAAGATGGGGGAGGAAAGGGAGAGGAGGAGGAGGGAGGAGGATATCTTTTTTTGCACAGTTCTTTCCTAATAGTCCTGTTCGTGTTCCTCCTGCTCCGAGTCCTCCACTTCTTTCCCTCTCTACCATCCGTCGCCCATCGTCCGTCCACGGCATCCTCTGGGTGGCGCATCCTCCTGCAACGCCTTTGAAGCCTTGGGTCTCCCACATGCTCCTGGCGCGACCTTGACATAGCACTGCGCCAGAAGGTTGATTTTCTGCAGGAGCAGCTGGTTGCAGGCATACGGATACGTAGCGGCCCCCGTCGAGGACGCTGGGCAGGCGTGTTATGCCCGTCCCGAATAGGCGCGCACACTTGCGTTCCGATTTCCCGAGCGGTCCATGACTCCAGTGTAAAATTGCGGCCCAGCCAAGTACCACGGCACCAAAGACGGCAAACAGAAGGCTGCCCAAGACCGCGTGGCAATGTTGTCGGTTTGCCCAGTCGCGGACCAACCACCGCCCGCCATTCTAGTTGTTGTGACTGTTGCGTCTTCCCCTCTTCTTCTTCCTCCTCCTCCTCTTCCTCCTCCTCCTTCTCATCGCCGCCTATCATCAGTATCCTCCCCCCCGCTGTGCCACAGTGCATATGACTTGCTCGTCGCGGGTACACACGCGAAGTGGCTCAGTGCCCTGGCGTATCGGGCTTGATGTGGTAGAAGTGCATGAGGGGCGCGACAATCGCTTGTCAAGTTTCGCTCCCAGTCAGAGTTTATTGGGCCCGTTGTCCCGCTGTTGTTTGCCCAGTGGACGTGCACGGGGATAAAACATCGCCCCCTCCCCCCGCTGCCCGAATGACCCGCTGCCACGGTGAAGGTTTGAGTATGGTTTCCTTGCAGGATGCAGCAAAGCAGCGCCATTGTATTTGTTCCACCCGTGTCCGTTGTGGGACGGGCTCGTTTAATGTGGCGGCACGCTCTCTCTCTCTCTCTCTTTCTCTCTCTCTCTCTCTCTCTCTTTATCTCTGTCTCTCTCTCTCTCTCTCCCTCACTCCAGGGGCAACGCTAGGGGGGGACCGGGGGGGATAGGCTCAGAGGAGGAAACATCGACCCGGAATCGGCGATACATCGTCGATAGATCGGCGAGTGGCACCCGCTAGCGAATCCGCACGTTCACAGGCGGGGTGGGCTATCGGGCCCCATATCGGCGATCAGTGGACGATTGGGGGGCGACGCGCCCCCCCTTGAGCTTGTTGCCATCTAACGCCTGCCCCTCATCTCAATCGCTGTCCTTTTCTCTGTCCGACCGCACGAGCCGCCCCAACGAGCAGGGCCTCGGTGTCTGGCGAGGCTGGAGCTGGGCAGGGCTGCCCGGCCACAGCACGGCGCCCGAGCAAGCACGCCGGCCCCTCGAGTGAGGCGGCGGGTTCTCGCGCAGCGCATCCTCTGATCTCAGACGGCTGCGTATTCAGATGCAGGTGCACAGAACGTGCTTGTATGTATGTATGTGCGCGCATATGTATATATAGTATACACACTATCTGTGTGTGCCACTGCCCAGAGGACACCAGCCACCTGGTCCGCAGGTGGGCGCCGCGCCCTTGCCAGTTCGTCGCCTCGCGCAGCGGCAGCGAGTCCGAACCCGACGGGCCCGACGGCGCCGTGGACATGCGGACGACGCCGGGGCACAGCAGCGACAGCGGCGAGGAGGGCGACACGGAGAAG